CTATTCCCAGCGTATATATATATATAATTAAAGTATTATAAATACTAAATCTTCAAAGAAACTATAAAAGATTAAGATTCGACTTGGCCTGTCGTACCATTAATTGATGATGAATTTAAAAAAACATATGGATTAAACAAAATACGAATTTTGTTGTTGGTAATTTAAAGCAAAATATCGCAATAAATTTAATTACATGATAACTTAATTACAAGTATCACCACATATTTCAGTGATCGAATTGATACCTATATAAATAAGACGCCCGTCACACAGATTATAGAGAGCTCCAGGTTCGAATCCTGGCTGGGATATTTTTCACAATAAATGTATTACAGCAATTTAAAAATGATACTTATTAGCATCAAAAGTTAAATCAATTATTAATTTAAATATGTGGATTTACTGTTCCAACAAAAAAGTTTTAAGACCGACAAATAAATAGTTTACTGAGTTGGAAGGAGTATACAAAATTCACACAGAAATGTTGTTATTAGGTTATCAAAATCTAGCTCAAACGAAAATGGCATCTTCTCTAATTAATTATGAATTTCTACAAAAAATTCTATAAATAAGATTTTTTATATATCTATATTAAACCATTTAATCTATTTTTTAACTTCTATATCGATTTACGTTGGAATCGGAAAAGAATCGCAATTGCCTCCTCTGAAATTACTGACAAATTTATTTCTTTGATTGTTTTCCATGTTTGTTTCATTAAGTCATGCACAGAGATTTTTGATCGCTGAAGTAATGCAGCAGACTGTATTTCACAGAGTCGTTGAAGGACAATCTGAGGATGGGTGTCGCCCGTAATAGAACATCTGTTTCTTAGTACACTTAACGAAATCTCGTGGTCCATGAGTGGGACTAAATTGTCGTGCCGGCTGACAAAAAAAGCTCCTACTTCAGAATGTTTGTTCCTCTTAACTCCGAGGTTCCAACTTATAGTAAGGAAGAATAAAAGCGGGATTTCTTTATAAAAATTTTATGATCTTCGTGCACATTGTTCTCGCCATAGTTAACTATTTTACAGCTAGATATCTTTCTTGCAATCGGAAAAGGAAGGGGAAAAATTTCTCGACAATTTTCGACAGTGCAATTAATTTTAAATAAATTCATATATTAATCAATAGATATCATTTTGATAAATTAATGAGATTAATTATTTTGATTTGCACACATTTATAATTTACATGCAAAATGCATGATTTTCAAGATCATAAAAATTTAATATCAAATTTTAATAAATATAAATTATTAATTACACGCGCAATTACATTAATTACATGTGCAACAATACTGCAATATTTTATATTATCTTCTAGTAGCAAAAGCTAGCTATTTCTTGTACAATAGCACTTGATAGCAGAAGCGGAATAATGGGATATGCCGCTGACGTTTCTCGGTGTGCATGCGAAAAAGCAATTTTCGACCATTTTCCGGATGGGAATAAGCCGTGATGAGACTGATTCGGATCGCTAGTCGGAGTAGTGGAACAAACGATCCTAAGTATGTTAAGCGCATTTCATTCGTTTCGATACGATACTGGGATCGCCAATAATCGAATCCCTTTTCGTTTGCGCAATTTTCCGTCTTCCGTTGATTCCCATCCTTTCAATTAGATGTTAATGACGAGTTTTTTTCACAAGTTGGGAAGATCACGCAAGAAGTGCGCTTGATAAAATATTAATTTGTATTTATTGTAAAACTATTCTGATGTGTTACGTAATATAAAATATAACGTTAGAATTAGAAGAAAATTTATAAATGTAATTGTTTAATATAAGTTTTACTCATGCAGTTATTGTTTCTGCAATAAAGAATAAATATGATATTCATAATTTAATCATGTGCAAAATTATTCAAGTAACTTAAATCCTTAAAAAAAAAGATAATGTTTGAATTATTATTACTGTCCAATCGCTTTCAAATAATGACATAAATATTGATAAGAGAGTTACCTGCATTAATTTTAATAACCATAATTTTAATAACCGCTTCGTGTACATACAGGTTGATCAACAATCGCGATCACACTAATTGTAAGATTTGTTACCGCACAAGCGACGACGGAATTGGTTGCTGGGCTACGCGGAGATGGTCCTCAAATTTTAGGCCATCGTCATAGACACTGCAACGAGGCGAGAGTGTGAGGGACGGTGCTCGGTAGAGAAAGGGTGAATGCTTGTATATGCAAGCGCATATAAAGGAGATATTCGATTAGTATGGCATAAATATCGTTTGAAGCGAGGGAATGAGAAATGAGAGAGATAGAGAAATAGAGATATAGATATATCGAGAGACAGAGAAGTTGCGGCAGAGAGTACAGGGAAGGGGTGTGATGCTTCGCGCCGTTTAATGCATGACAAAATGAGTTTACACTGGCCGGTAAGGGGGATAACAACGGGGTTGGTGGGTCACATAGTGGGAGAATTCGACAGAACAGATATATGATGATGGCAAACGAGACTTGGGGGGGGGGGAGGGAAAAGTAGGAGGTCGGGAGGTAGATTCGACTGCATAGGCGACTTGGAGCGGCGCCAAAGGCAATATGCATTAGCCATCGCGTATTTTGAAATTCAAGCCAAAGCAGATTAAATTCTATGCCGATCCTATGTCCGGCACGTCAATGGTTCTTCACCCGCCATTCTTTTCCCCCAACCAGCCTTGCATACCCTATATCCTCTCGTGTCGTGTTTGCCGATACATAATGAATGTCGATCCGCCGACATGCCTAAGCTTTTATGGTATCTCGACCGGCGAACACGCACCGGAATGCGGCTGCCAGGTCAGGTTTTGGTCGCGGGTAATGCGCGCGTAAATTCGCCAATAGCGTACCTAATCGGCCTGATTGAATTAGGTTTGTCCGAGAAATTTGCTCCCAAAAAGAGATGCGACCGCAAGTACGGAGACATTTATGACAGAAACAACGCGAGTATATGAATTTTTTTTCAATATTTTATATAATTTTCTAAATGTTTCTAAAATAAATCACATTCACATAAAAAAAATTACAAAAATAATTTTAAATAAAAGTTAAATGTTTAAGATAGAAATAAATTAAATTAATGTTTAAGATAAGAATAAATAAAACTGTTGTGTAATTGATGTTACAAAATTTGTAATATCATGACACTATTTTATTTATTTCGATATATTTGATATTTATATAGCTACGGTATTATACGTATGATTATCAAAAAGTAATTAACTTCCTGTAATAATTATTAATAAAATTATAAATATAAAGTTAATAACATGAAGTTAGCATAGAGCTTGATTAATATCGATAATAATTGTCATTTTCTTTCGACTTCAATTGCTCGTTCATAGTTTGATAAGCAAGTATCTTTAATCAAGGACGCTATGTTTCAACGAGATTGTCCACGATGGTGCTATATGAAGATTCCCGATTAAACCAACGAGCATACCGACGCCTTTCATGACACTTCAATTACCTAACCCATCGTATGCGGTTACCGCATAAAGGAAGGGGTCAGGTTTTGGTTATTCTACCAGTTAGCGATTATACCCAGATCAATTTCCTTAAATGTAATAGTTGCATTCCAAATAATTAACTATAGTAAATTGTGCCGCCAGTTTCTTCCGCAAAATCATAAAGCTTGGTCTGATAGAACAATAGATAATATCGTTAGCATTCATTATATTTTAATTAATTCTCATACGTATCATCGTATGTATCAGCTTTAATGTTAAGATATAAAAAACATGAAACTTGATATAATTTCTAATTATTTGCGGAATTACATAAAGGAACACAAAATCATTCGCAAAAATTATTTCAAGTACAAAAAAAACATTACTACATCTGTGCATTTGTGCATGCAATGTTGGATTAATATACGTTTAATGTTCGTGACGTATATGCTAACGTTAATGTAGTTTATACTCTATACTGTCGCAAAAAGTACTTGCTTATCAAACTATGATTGAACGAAGTATATTCTCAGTAGGCTTGTTTTATATGTTAGTTTACGATGTAGTTCTTTTTACGCAGTAGTTTCTTTAATATACATATTTATGATGCATAAACGTGTGAGAGGATTAAAGGATGTCAGTCCGAACGTATAACCATATGCAGTAAAGTATGTAATTCGTAAACCGACATTTCCAAGCACGTTAAAACAGACTATTCTGCAATGAGCAATCAATCATTCATCCACAAAGAGCTTTTCCGATTTTGACCGTCATTGACAAGCTTTTATGGTAAATCTCAATATCAGGGGAAACGTGGCCGATGATTTATATCCGCGCTGATTTCGGTCGTTTTGGCCGGTTTGGTTATTGGAACCTAAATCAGTTCCGTTCAAATCGCTTGACTTATTAGTAATTGCGTTATAGGGATAACAAATTATAGATTTTGGAATAGCGAACAATATATCCGCGGTGGCTCGTGCCGGAAAGTCCGATTCGTAGTGTGCAATTCCAAATGCAACTGCTTCCTGTCATTCCCCGTCCTTTCTTCGCCTACCTCCTATTTCTCACAAAACCCCGCCTATCTACCCCGCGGTCCCTCGTTCCATTCGACGAAGATTAAGTGGTTTTCGGGCCTTGCGGGCGTGAACAGTACCGGAGATATCGTGGATACAATCGAGCAGTTGAAATTCATTCCGCATGCGGCGCGAGTGCGATAGATATATGAGTGATAAATTATAGCACATGAATGACAGCGAGACAAAGTAAGTGCGTCTTGCAAGGGTTTTCCTTCGCCGCTCGCTGTTGGCGAGCATCTTAATTTTTAATGTTCTGTTTCCGAAACGCATTAACAAACTCAGAGCAATTCCGTGAATAAATTGGTCAACCAACAATCATTTATCTATCTTTAATCTACTTTGACCCATCCATTTTAGGACAACGGATTTGTACGAATCGTAACATTTATCCGCAATTTCTATGTTGTTAACTTGATAAATTTAAATTTAATTTCCACAAATCCGTTACTCCAATATAAAATAAAAGACAATTTGACTCACTGATACGATGCGCAGCAGCGGAGTTGTAAACTGCATTAGTAACCACGTTGAACTGTGAAATAGAAACGTAAATCGAAGTTATTACGTGCTCAAAGTAATTAATATTTCTATAAAAATAATTTTATTCATCTCTTTTTCTTTAAATAAATATTTAATAAAGTAATTTTTAATTTTCAAAAATATCTTTTCTTTTATATATTACATCTTATCAAAGTTTATAAATATAACAGCCATTTTCTCTAGCTCTCACTTTAATCTATCAAATAAATGACTCAAATAAATAGACAATTAATTTTTTAAGTGACAATTTATAAAAAGTAAGTTACTCACCTTATCGTTGCTCCGCTGTCGCTCGATGCCTCCCAGGCCCCTTCCTCCTCTCGCAATCAGATTCGTTGTATGGTACTCACTCGCGAAAATTCACACGCGAAAACTTATGGTTAATTTGCACGAGCGTACTAATTACATAATTATGACACTCCGCGTTACGATATGTACTACGTTATACGATTGTCGAATGCCATACCTGTAACAGATATATTAAACATTTAAATTAATTACTATCTTACGTTACAAGATAAAAAAATTAATATACGAATTAAAAAGAAGTTGGCAGAGAACTTAGAATATGCACAATACAATAATCGGAAAATATATTCCGCTTTGTCTATACGCGCGATAGAACTTTGATCAAATAAATCTCTCGAGATACTGGTATTATTAAACTGATACATTATGGTTTTTGATTGAGTTACTCGATCTGTCGATTCGTACTCATTTACCATTAAATGACGGGCAAATCCAGGTTATTTTCGTTTGTACCCCTCAAAGAGGCGAAAGTTACGGGGGGTTAAAAAATCATCAGCACCCTACTTTGAAATACAATAATCTTCCAAATGCCATTCGATTAAGCATCCGTTTGTGCTCGTTTGTACCAGTTTTTATTTTGTTTGTACAGTGGAAATACGAGATATTGAAAATTCGTATAAGGGTAACTTTGTCATTTTTAGAGATATTTTAAATCTGCAAGCGGGTGACAAATGAAATAACCTGTGGTACAATCGGGTACAAACCGAGCGTAATCAAATGCACATACGAAAAATTTTTTTTATGAAAGTCGGGTGCTAAGTTCACATAAGGTGCCCGAATGTACCGCGCGAACGATAACACAGCGCGCGGTACATAGACAAATGCTGAACAATCGTTACAAAATATTTAATGTATTATAAAATAAAGGCATGCCGTATGTTATATATACTCTGTTTTCCAAAATAATTTCGATAAGTGGGTTATTGTCGCACTTTGAGCTTTGTTTTCAGAATTTGTTAGCATTGTCTGAAATAATTATTAATTATTCTCAGTCGAAAGCGTTTCGAAAGCTTAACAGAGATATATTTATTTAAATTGTAATTCGACAAACATACATATGATATTATAGATATATTATATTTATTTTTGCGTATTAAACGTTTCTCGCAAAAGGAACAAAAATATTACAAAACACCGACATTTTTATAATTATTGGGTTGTTATGTTTGTGAATAATTATTAAATTGGTTTTATTACATGCAAAATTAAATTTTAACAATATGTAATTTGTAAGTATAACCCGGAATTTATTTTCTATAAATTTTACTTTAGTTAAATTTTTGGCTAATCTAAAAAAGATATTAAAATAAAAAATTAGAAATGGAAGTATATAACTTTATGTTACAATAGGAATAACAAATAAAACTATATTGCGATTGTATATATATATATATTGTTAAAATAATATTTTTCATTTTAAATATTGTATGAAACTGCTATCTCTTTTTAAATGGTTGATATACTTATTTTTTTACCTTTATCTTAAATTGATTTATTATGCATATTGCATCGTTTTTAGTTTTATAACTATGTAACATATTCAAAAGTGGGTCATAGTACAAAATGTATTGTTAGTAGAAATTGATGAATTATTCGTAAGTAGGTTAAACGTTCTACTTATTAGAGTAATTACGGTTATCATTGTGCCTTTCTCGATGGTACGCATCACAGTGTGCAATCATCTATTTTCGCTGTTGATGTAATTGCATAATCATCGTCAAGATTAAGTAGTCTTCAAAAACTGTATTTCGTCAAAATTACAGCATGTACGAGATACATTTACGAGATCTTTGCGTATTTAATTTATTCCGCGAAACGATAAAGATGTTATAAAATACAGACATTTCTAAGTATATTAGGTTTATTAGATTTGAAAACGATTATTAAATCTGTGTGTTTTGCTATATTATAGAGAAATTAAAATTAACAATAGATATATTTTTCTTCCCGCAATCTTAAATATATTTTTTGTCCCGCATTTACTTTTCTTGCACGCTTTATTTTAAACCTAGTCAGATTTTTGGCAGAAAAATAATTAAAAAATTTACATGTCTATTGAGGCCAATAATAGTTATGAAAAGTCCGAAACTGCCCACAGCGTACTATCCATAGTGGTACAAAACAGAAATTGGCGGTTGTGGCAATTACGAGATATTGAATATAGGTCGTTTCCAATAGTCTGACAAGAGTTATTCCGTATTAATCTGTCGGGAAATGCGATTGCCAATCTACTGGTTTGGCTTTGGTATAAGTTTAATGATATAACAACGATCGAGCCGCGATCTTGTCTATCAAGAGAAAATAAATGGTACTCAAATATATTGAACCGGTAATAATATATATATATATATATATATATATATATTACATATTTTTGTTTATTTATCATATATTATTTTAAAAAAATGCAGATGTACAGCGTAAGATGTACAACGTATTTATCTAAAATTTTAAAAATATAAAAAAATATGTGCTATTGACATTATCAGGAATTAATTATCACAGCAATGTAATATTTTTAGTAATTTTTCACTTATTCCTCTCATGCATCGAAAAGAACGCAATCGCGTTAATGATCATTGTATGTTTCATCTATAATTTATTGCCAAGTCAGAATCAAATTTCGCTGGAATATTTAAAGTTTATAGCATACTACTGAAAGCATGCACCTATATAGATCTCGTTAAAGATTAAACAGCTCTTTCGCGTAACTGTGCATCAGAAAACATCTTTTTTCGCACCTCGTTCTCTCACTTTTATACCTTTCTTTTCTTCCGTTAAAGGGTTGAGCCCTTGGGAAGAATTGAAAGAACAACTCAGGATCGTTTCTCAGTCCGAAACGTCACGAGAATCACGAGTGTGGAACCATCTTCCCAAGAACATCTTCGCAAACTATCTCAAGGGAAAAGACTCTGCCAAATGTCAGGCAATAACGCGTTTACATCGGCGCGGGGAGTAACGTCGCGCGGCTGAGTCTCAAATCGACAATGGGTTCGCCGCCGTCGGCAAACGGCAGTTTAATTCAGAACGCCCTGTCGCGGGACGACGATTATCGCGATTGCAGTTTCTAATTATCATCACTGAGCCACCGACAAAGCAAACCGAGTGAAAATACGAATTAGATCAACGAAGTGTAGCGGAAACGTAATGGAACGTTTGCGGTATGCAAAATTTGGGAATTCTCTCTTGAAATCGCTCGCGGCGGCACCGTTACGGCAACGTTTGTTTGAACAACCATAAATTATCTCTGTTAATTTTTCGTAATTAATGATCGCAAATATATCAGCAGTTAACAATGATAACTGGCGATCGCGCGGTTCTTGCGTGAGTTTGAATTTTAGTATTTATCTTGTAAATCGATGATTGATGAACTATTCCGTTTCTGACAGAACATAAATTTTATACGACTTGTTAATCTTATAATAATACGCCCGTATATTGACAATCGACATCCGTCAAATTGTAATCGGTTGCTGATGGAAAAGATGTAGGTACATAATCAACCTTTGTCCTCAAAACGTTCGCAATAATCGAAATTTAATTCAATAACGATACAACGTGTTTTCTCTGAGAGCCCTACAGTTATTCATTTCATGTCACGATGCTTTAATTGGAAAAACATTTTAATTGTGATATGGTTTTATTTTGTTGATTATCGGATTTCTCTGCCTGACCCGCATTGATTAAAATATCACAATAATTATTTAAAAAAGCATGGCATGTATGTACATAACGTCATATAGTGATAAAATGTAAGAACTAATACGATACACGATGATAAATAAACTCGCAAATCTAATTAATTAAGATTTACAAGTCTTTATCTGCAATTTTTGATGTTTCCAACGTATTATTAGTCAATTCGCGCACAACAGGAAAAATCGAAAAATTCTATCGAGATACATATTCCGTAACGTTGGCACACATACGGCGTTACATGTAAAAATGAGAAGATTGATCGCACGTAGGCGAGCGGAACGAGGATAACGCTTGCATCGCGAAATCAATATGTCCGTGTGGTCTTTTACCCCATATGCCATTTATTACGCTCTTGTTTGCCATATATCGTGAGCGCGCAAACGTTAAACCGAACACTCGCCCAAAGGAACATGAACGCGAGGTCAATTTTTTTGCCTCTCAACACTTCTCGCGCGTGCAACCTTTGTGTAGGAACGAAAACGGTAAAAATGCGTGAGGATGCGACGTAAAAGAAAAAAGAGAGAAAGAAAATTGGAAAATATAACTTGCGAAGCCGTTTATCAATGCCATTTTGACAATGGATCTCTTTAGGTTGACAATTTTCGTAAGAAAATTATATATATATTATATATGCATTGTTGTATCAAATCTTAATTAAATTTTATTATGCATTATACCAACTCTTGTCGAAACTTACGTTATTTTATCTTTTCATACAAAAGGAACAAATATAGATGATATAATCTGACAATATTAGAAACTGCGCGTTTGCATTACAAACAGTAATTTGTGAACAAGACTTGTGATGGTGAAGTAAAAATGAAAAGCGAATGTAAGAACCAAGATAAATTTGCACGTAGTAAAGAACAGCTAGAATGAAATAACGTAAGAACAAAACTATATTTACACGATCTTGATCGAGAGAAAGACACATAAGTCCCGGTCTACAATAGCTGTTATAAGCCCTAAAGCTTTAAGAAATTGTTTAATCACAGTTGAATTTGAGGAAAATAATTGACTGTGATCGATCAATTTCTTAGGGCTTACAGCTTAAAACACCTATTGTGGACTAGGACTAATAGTTATTAGTATTCACAATCCGCTTGTATTTCTAAATATTTTACCATTTTAAAGATTTAATGTATTTTTTTTTTAGATGTCATAAATGCATATGGAGCTTTATTGTAAAAATGTGAATAGTTGGCGTGAATAGTTTTAAATTCCGAGTAAAAACGTGTGCGCCCGTTAACTTGCGCAATTCATTTGGCGGCAAAAACGGAAGGGAAGACGAAACATGCTCTGTTATCGATGACGATGGCAGTGGTGGGTGTGGCACTGGGAGCCTGCACGTAGGGCGCAC